AAAAACAGGTGTGACACATACATCACACTCTTATGAGAAAACGTTTGGTGATGCATTCAATGCATGGAGGGAGAGATATGCACGGTAAAAATAATATCTAATATTTTTTCTTTTGAGGAGAAGGGAAAACTTTGAGGAACTCCCCACCCCATCATTTGAGCAAAACTCATCGATTTTGAGAAAGTCTCCTGAAAATTAGGGAAATTCCCACGTTTTGGTATGATAGGCATGATAGGTAGATTCCACCACCACCCCCGCTCCTGCCGAACTTGCGCGTTGAACTCATAGAGAAACTGATCACTTTGCAAAGTCTCCTCGCCATACGATGCCCCTGAAGCACTCGCGGGTACTTGGTTGCTTGCTAAGTCTCCGAGCTACCACGCCACTGCCTTGGAGGAGCCCCGGGCCGGGAGCCGGTTCTGCTGCTGCTGCTACCCGGGTCGTGCCCAGCGAATATCAGCGTGACGGGCTCCCAGGCGGGGGGCCCGGCGGTACTGCTGTATAAGGAGCAGTAGCAATAATAACATGTCATTATTACTAATTAGTGGTGATAACTGGCGGTAATAATAATATTACGACTGTTGTCAGAGCATTTCAGGGTGGCATCAAAAATGACGAATTTAAAGTGATGCGAACTATTCGACTCTATAGTGTCGCCTTAACGAAAATTGTGACGGAAAAAATATTCCTGATCACAGCCCATTATTTGGAGGGCTACAGTAACTAGTTAGGATTCGCGAGGTAGGGAAAATATTAGCTCCCGCACAACTGATACCAGAAGGCCACAGAACAGTTTTCGTCGATAGTAGCTTATAGCGTTTCTTCAGATCAGCATATTACATATTCTGATAAATGTCGCAGCACCACGAGACACTGAAATGCCAGTAGGCTTGACCAGTAGGCGGCCACAGCAGCAGCAGCAGCATGAGCAGACGAGATGTTCCAGGAAGTCAGTGACTGCAGCGGCCCGGCGGCAGGACCACCCGCCTAGTCCTGCAGTGCAAAACTCGTCCGATTGATTCCCCCACCCCCCTCCTCGTCTCTCTCTCTCTCGCTCTCTCTCTCTCTCTCTCTCTCTCTGGGCGTACGGGCGTACACGCACGTACACTGTGCCGCGCAGCGAGGTCCGCACAGCATATCAAGAAAAAAATAAAAAAGCAGGAGAAAATAAGCAATGGGAATGAAAATGAAGGTACAAAAGGTAAAAAAAAGGGAAGAGGCCTCGGTAAGAAGCTGCCCGACAGGCCTTTGGCATTCGCCATGAGAGCTGATCTGGTCCAATTTTTGGCCGGTGATGTCATCTCCTGAAAGGGAGGAACACAAGGAAGTACACCGAGAAAAGAAGGCTGATGCCCGGCTTCTTCTTGGTACATGGAGAAAGATTTTCCTTTATTGCGGAATTCGATAATCCGCTGTCAGCACACACATCCAGACTAAAATAATTTGACGAAAAATAGACAAGAGAATTTTTTTTTTGTGAACTTGAGGACGCTGAAATATACTATTGACTGCGCGTTTTCTTCCAAGTGGTGACGTCATTGAGTCACGTCAGAATGACGGAGAGACAGTAAAAACCCTTTAATGCTCCTCTTCGCGATGAGTCGCCGACATCCGAAGTGGCGTCCGCCGCGCAGACACACGGCCACTACTCTTACGCACACTGCCAAGAATATTGTACCGAAAAGTAAATCGAATGGAAGGTATGCCTGCGGAGGTGATGATAGTTGTGATTTTATACTGTAATGCCCATAAAACTCCTGCTGATACTGTACTTAGTAACTCGAAATATTGTGCCTTACTCAGTACTTCGATCAGGCAAGGACTTGCCGAAAACTAAAAGTCGTTCTTACAATATATTTTGTTCCTAATTTCAACAGAGTTTTGCACTGTTTTCAGGGGGCAGTCTTTTGAAGAGTCACAGGGTGT